TTCATTGATTTTTAATGGCTAAATAGTATTCCATTTACATCATGCTTTTCTCCTTGAAAACAACATGCCACATTGACACATGATAATGGTACATATTTGTGGGGCACACATGTGGAAATTTATTGCATGTGTAATTATCAAATCAAGATAGTTAACATTTCTGTCTCATATACAGTTATCACTTCTTAATGTTTGGAGCCTTCAAACATCTCACTTCTAGCTATTCATAAAGTATGTAACACATATCTTTATCCACCTGTCAATGGCTACTTAGGTTGAGCCATATCTTGGCTTCTGTGCATAGTGCTGCTATGAACAAGGGAGTGCAGGTGTCTTCAACATACTGATTTCCTTTCCTTTGGATCTCTTCCCAGTGGTGGGATTGCTGGGTCACATGGTACTTCTAGTCTTTTGAAGAACATCTGCACTGTTGACAAAGCATTAAAAATACTGCATCTTTCAGAGGAGGGTAGTGTGGTACAAGGAGAGATTCAGGGAGCATCACTGTAGCTCACTGCTCTCTTTAGGTAGCTGAGACATCCTGATAGGTCCTTCAGCCCCCATGGGCCTCAGTTTTTCTCACCATTAAAATTCTATAAATATCTGGATGCTGGTGGCTCATGCCTGTCATCCTAGCTACCTGGGAGGTTGAGATTGGGAGGATTACAGTTCAAGGCTAGCCCAGGCAAATGGCTTCTGAGACTGCATCTCCAAAATAACCAGAGCAAAATGGAGCAGAGGTGTGGCTCAAGCTGTAGAGCACCTGCTTTGCAAGCATAAAGCCCTGATTTCAAACCCCAGTCCCACAAAAAAAGAAAAAAATTCTATAAACATCATTTAATTTTGATGAGTAGTACTGATGAGATTGTGGGTGGCTATTTCATAGTATACTTTGTGAAACCAAAATATTGCCCTTGATCTTTAAACAAATATCTATTTCTGAATTCCTCAAAACCCATGTCAAAAGTTCTACTCCACTTCTTGTAGACTTAATTAAGTGACTTGTTTTCACAAGTTATGATCTTATTTGCCCAAAGGACAGTTTTGAGAAATGGGAACAAAATGATTATTCTTATTTTTTTTGAACAATTGATCTTAAGCAGAAAGATTTCAAATACAAATCTACACGTTCGTCCCTGAGAATATGCTGTAGTCAGCACCCGCTGAGTCCTTTGTCATCCACACAGTAGACTGACTGGTGCCAGCCTAAGGCTGGGAAGTGTGTGCTTGTCAAACACAGTGTATGTTGTGTGGGGACACATGTGAAGGACCGAAGCAAGGGGAGAAAACATGGCAATTTGTGCTGACTTGAAAACAGTAGTGTTTACCCTCTTGTCTACTGCTCCTACCCTCCTGTCTAATGATGGACCTCTGATCCATCATATGTCAGTGAGTAGTGAGGGAGAAAGCCTGGTCCTTTTGAACCCCTGGGTCCCAGAGTTAACCTACAGTAGTGTTCCATGAGGCACCTGGGCTGATGCAGTGTCACTGTAGCCCAGTGAAAGCTCTTTAGAGCCTGTGCCTTCATGATGCTCTCAGTTGGGTTTAAGGGTAGGGCCTGATTCTGGAGGCCACGCTGAGAGTTCACCCACCAGCCGCTTGAGAGCTCACCCACCAGCCGCTTGAGAGCTCAGGGCTATTCTGAAAGGCCCAGAGCACCTTAGTAAACTGAAGGTCTTGTGTGTGTGTGTGTGTGTGTGTGTGTGTTTGTGTGTGTGTGTGTGTTGAGTGCATGCACACACATACATGCCTTGCTCTGAGAAGCTCCAGGTGTTGATGGCAATGTGTGCAGAAGGCTCCGTGTCCCTTCCAGCAGTACAGTATTCTAGGGTTATAAGGAAAATATGATTTTCTGATAACAGTGAATTATGTTTCAAAACAAAGCAATCAATTGTATATATGTACGTGTGTAATTTTAACTTAAAGCTAGTACTTGGGAAAAAATAATAGTTGATGCAGATGCTGATGGTCTCATTTTAAGCTAACACTCAAATCCCGAAACTGTTAGTTTCTGCTTCTTCTTGCCTCTTCCCGGTGATGTGTGTATATGAGGATCAGATCACTGATGTCTTATGCTGAATGTATCAAGTGAATTCATTGGCTATTGATGGTGTGGTGAGGGGGACAGAGTTTTGTATTGCAGCTGGTGGGTGGCATCTGGTTGGACTTTCTTGACTTCCCTCCGTATGGAAAGTTCTGTCCCACAATCCAAATTCCTAAGCCTGAGACAGAAGGTTGGGTTTGCTTTGCTCATTTTCTCTGCTGTCATCACCTTTTCTAGAGATTTATCTGGCTTCATGTGCAGCTCCTGAGGAAGTTTGATGAGATAGTGACAGCTAATGTGGATTTGGGGCCAACCTTTGGAGAATGACAGAAGTTGTCTTGCTTCCCTTTAAGAAAAGTACTTGCTTTTATTTTTTTTAAATGCTGATCAGTTTGGAATAGAAATAGGGAATAGAAAACCAAGTTCCCCTTGCAGACAAGCAGTGCTCCATCCCTCATGGAACTCTTCCTTTGTATAGCAGGAACCAACCAAGGAAACCAAAATAATTGAAAGGGGCCATCCTGTTTTGACTCCAGATTTATGAAATAAGTCTGGCTTTCCATTTTATTTAAAGTTGATATGACTCAGTATTTTAAAGGACGTCCAATACTTAATGATGATATCCTCCCACATCATTTTTGGATTGTTTTTCCAAATTCTGTGTGCAAATTCCATGAGTGGGGAAGGAAGGGAGATAGGAGTCAAACCACAAGTATTCTTGACTGCCCGTGGATTGAAGGTTGATTTGGAACACTGTTGAGTGGCAAAATTAAAGTGAGGTTTGATGGTCAAGGTCTACTGGACCCTGAAATCAGACTCCATAATGGTGTGTGATGAGGTGGGAGGAGATACTTGTTGACTGTGTTGAATAATGCAATTAAGTTCCAGAGACACAGATAATGGATTGTGAGGTGCATATTGCCTGGAGAAAATCAATGGCAGAACTTGTAGGAGGTCTGGGATGGGGTGCTCTTTAGGCTCCTGTTCTCCAGGGTTATCTCCCAGTGGCCTTATTGAGGTTATTTTTACCAAAAAGTATTTATCAGAAGAGAAAGAAACTACATGTATTAGAGCCTTTAGAGAGACAGAAATGTGCTAGGTGCCTTGGCTCAGTTTACCTTATTTATGGTTGTAAGAACTTCAAAGTTAAATGGATTAATTTTCATTTTAATGATGATAGTATTTGTATTTTAAGATCTGTACTTATTCTTTTCCTTAGGGAGTGAATAATCTAATATGCCATGGTGCTTGTGAGAGCAGAAGAATTGTAAAATTTAAACTTGAAATCAGTATTAAGTAGGTCCCCAGTAAAATGCTTTTAAGGGAGCAGTCTTCGCAGGGTTTCCCTACAAGGCAGGGAGCATTTAAAGGACAGAGGTAGATTCACAGCAGCTGTTTGGAGTAATCAGGCACACATAGTTGTGGTGAGGACTGAGGACAAGAGAAACTGGAAGCTCCATGTCCAGACAGGGTGGAGTGAAGAGAAGTTAGATGCAGAGTTATGTGATGCATTGTCCCGAGTAGGGTGTTACTGGTACACCAAATGTTGCAGGTGGACAGTTCTCCACAGAGTGTCGTGCTATAACCAGCATCCCTGATGTTTGTGTGTGTGTGTGTGTGTGTGTGTGTGTATACTTGCATGTGCAGTCACTGTTGGTAGACTTTATTGTTGAGGAAATCAAGGAACAGTGGCAATCCAGTGTCTGTGTTTCCAGTTTCATGCTAAGTGAATGCTGGTGAGGAAAGCTGGGCTTTGCACTCCCGTTGAATTGTGGTGGGGGGTGGCATTTGAGTGAATCAACCATCCAGTGAAACTCTTTCACAGCTCCAGTCCTTGGAGGAGCAAGCTTCTGCAGTCTGCCTCATGCACTTCATTTAATCACCTGGGTCCTAGAGCATTAAGCCCCGTTTCCCTGAGTCTTCCCAGTTGCCATGGAGGCAGATGTCAGGCAGAGGAAAATATTTAACGGAGTTCATTTTGCTTTGACTTATTTGCTCAGTTATGAGTGTGATAGCTACAGAACTCAAGGATAGACGGAATGGTTTACATTTTTCCAGAAGCCTAAATAGACATTAAAGAACTTTCTGGCTGTCAGACTATTTTCCACACCATCACTCACCTGTTTTCTATGGGAACTCTGTATGTGATGATTGAGGCACTGGATGTCTTTCACGCTCAGCATCTTATAGGGAAGCATGAACTGGCATGAAACTTTCCTACAGGGGTTTGTCCTTTGGTTTTTAGATTTAAGGTAAAGAAAACCCAAGTCTCAAAATTTCTCTAAGGAAACTAAATGATTTAGAATTTGTGTCTGAGCACAAGTAATATTGGGTGACCTTATTTTATTTATTCTTTTTTTTTTTGAGACATGGTCTTGCTATACAGGCTAGCCTGAAACTCACTATATAGTACAGATAATCCTCCTGCTTCAGCCTTCTGAGTGCTGAGATTACAGGTGCACACCACCACACCTGCTAAATACTTTAAATATGGAGAACCAGTTATCCACATGAAATCTTACACACAAGTTCACTAGTTAAGTATGAAAACAGAGTTGCTCAGAACCCAATAGCCATTAATTCATTCCTACAAATGAGAGCTCAGGAGCCCCTCCAGACTCCAGGAACTGTTAGGGGCTGAGGATATGCCAATTCATATCTGCAAGTGAATGAGAATATTGAATCATTCTAGCTGCTAAGTGTCCTTAGAGATTTAAAAAGTCTACTGTTCCTTCATGATAAAGAAAATAAACATCACAGCATAAATCTATAAAGCGATGTCCTCCCTAACTCACACAGGAAAGTAAAAATAGGGGTTTTGCTTTAGTCATTCGAGCCCATCCCAAAAGTAGATGACATTAGAAGCTTAAGCATATGGTTTGTCCCTTTGTGTTCAGGTTTGTTACAGAGAACAGTCTTGTTGATGAGATTTTCATACTTATTTCTTCCTTAACAGGGCTGCTTAACAACGCCCAACTCCCCATCCATGAATTCGAGGTCCCTTACGCTGGGTCCGTCCATTTCACTGGGCAACATCTCAGCGGTATCCCTCAAGTCGGAGATGAAGAAGCGCCGAGCTCCTCCTCCTCCAAGCCCAGGGCCACCAGCTCAAGACAGGGCATCGGAAAAGGTAGGGGATTGAGGCTCTCATGAGCAAAGTATCTTCTAAACAACGTGGTCAACTCTCCTGCAGCTCCCTGGGAACACTGTCGTTCTTCACACTTGTGACTTTAATAAGCAGAGTGTTCAGGGTGAATATTTGGGCTTTATTTAAAAGTAAAGGTGAGCTACTGCTCTGCTTCGGTTACTGAAGGCAGGACCGTTTTGGGACCATAGGCTCTTAAAGACCTATGCTTGTTGATTAACAACATGCATTTTATTTTAGCACTGGAATTTGGGTGGCATCACTGCGATTGCTAGATGAGAAAATGTGCACAAGTAAGGGTGCTTTAGGAATCTGAAGCTTGTAAAAGACAGAGGTAATCCATAACACAACATAGATGCCCAAATAACAGGTTCCCAGGAAAGCTGAGAACGTTTTTGCATATTGTATTGCTTTCATATGATATGAAATTTGTTTTGTGAGACCCTGTATTTAAGAAGCCTCCTTTTTTGTTCTGATTCACTTTGCTTTATTTTAAAAAATATATATGTATATATATTATAGATTCATAGGATTTGGTTTTAACAGTTAACAATTTGAATTAGGTAAAATGACAGTTTATAATATTTATTAATTAAATCAGTTATTTCCTTAAAGTGATATTTATAAATCAGTATTCTATTATGTAATTATATTTCAAATATTCTATTTGGTGTCTACTAAAAGAAAATCCACTAGAGAAAAATTTTCCTGTAAAAAAACGATTGCTTTAAATTTCCAAGGTTATCTCCTAGGTGCTAGTATTATGAAAACATAGATGTCCATACAAATAATGCCACTTCTTATTTTATCATATACTTGAAAACTTGGGAAAATAATGCAGAAGCTTCCATTTTAATGTCTACCTTTAGAGCAATTTTATGCCTTTGAAGGACATTGAATCAGTAGGTGCTGACTAGGAGAGTCTTGATCTAGGTGTCTGCTTTACATCCCTGGTTGTCTTCACTTGGACCTCTTTCCTTCAGCTATCTGCTGATACCTGGAAATGAGTAGGGCAGGATTTGACAGTACAGTCAAACTATGGTTTAACTTTCCAAGGTTTCAGTCAACTACAATTTGAAAATATTAAGTAGCAAAGTCCAGAAATAATTCATCCATTTTAAATTGCATGCTCTTCTGAGTAGCATGATGGAAGTCTTAGGCAGTCATGCTCTGTCCTGCCTGGGACGTGAATCAAATCAGCCCTCTGCCAAGTGCATCCTCACTGTCTATGCTCTTTTCCCATTAGTCATGTAGTAGCAGTCTTAAGTATGGCTGACTGTGGCCATACTATGTGTTGTGTTCAAGTCACCCTTATTTTATTTAGCAATGGCCCCAAAGGTAAGAGCAGTGATGTTGGCAGTTAGGATGTACCAAAGAGAAGCTGTGAAGTGGTTCCTTAAAGTGAAAAGGTGAAACTTTACCATTGGTATGTATGCATATGGAAACACGTAGTATTTTTAGGGTTTAGTACCATCTGGGGTTTCAGGCAACAACTAGGGCTTTTGAAATGTGTCCCCCTGCAGATAAAGGGGGATAACTATAACTTCCTTTTTTTTTTTTTTTTGCCAGCTCAGAATGTGACACTGTAAAAAACATAAAGTAAAGTTTTTATTTTTCTAAACCCATCCTCATCTGGGTGATGTGTCTCAGAGACAACATCCAGAAGCAGTCAGGGGCCCATGCTTTTGACTCTTTAAGAAACCAGATTCTCCAGAGAATTCAGGCTCTACAGCTCCATCCATGTCCTAAGATGTGTGCTGAAGACACCTTCTTCGTTGGGGTGGCACATTTCTTACTGCCCTGCACCCCTTCCAGGGGAGAGAGCATGGCTTGAACTAATACTACATGGGAAAGGCACATTGAAAGTCTGCTCACTCCCGGGGTACATTTCATTCCTCACTCCTGTCTGCTGCCTTGGTGTCCCTGGACCTGCTCCTGCATCATCATGCTTGACAGCATCACAACTCCACTAGTCTTTAGATTTCAACTCTTTTTTAGCTTGTTCATAATGTGACTTTTCCTTAAAATATACTAGAAACTAAGTCCATACCATTCAGATTTGCAGTATGGCCCCTTAGTCTTGATGGATCTCTTTGGCAGAGTCCCAACATCTTGTTTGATATGCTGCTTGTCTGTCTGTCTGTGGATCAGTCTGTCACCATCTTGCTTTTGCAAGTCAGTCCTCTGGTCATCTTTATTCCTCCAAGGGTATCTTTGACCTCGTTCCACAAACCCCACGTATTCCCATCTATAGGCCTTTTATTCATGTCCCTAGAAATTTTCTCAAAAGCCTGTAATATTTTTTAAACATCTCTATTAGTATATATTAGTTATACAGAGGGCATTCATTATAACATTTCTGTATATGCTTACAATGTACCCTGGTTAGGTTTGTCTCCACCATCATTCTTCCTCATTCCCCGTCTCCCCTACTTAAAGCAATTTCAGTGTTCTATTTTCATACATGCATATAAAGTATGTTGACCACAATCACCCTCCTTCACCTTTTCCATTCATCCTCCGCTCTCCTAAACCTGTAATATTTTAGAAGAAAATATTTTGATTGTTGTATTTCAAATATTTTGATGCCACTTATTTATTTTGAGTTCTCCATGATATTGTAGCTATGATTTTTTTTAAATAAAAGTCAGTTTTGTCACCAAGAGTGCATCACTTTGTTGGATGCTGACATGATTAAGTGATGCAAATGATATATGAAGCAATTTCCCATGATTGTCCACAGTGAATCTCTTTAATTTGCTTGGTTTAGATTCTCAATTTTTCATAACACACAGCTTTAGCTGTTTTCAATTACATACCCCTGGGATGTCTTTTTGCTCTTGGTTAGGTTGGATATTTCTTTAGTGGTGAAAAGTATGAGTTCCCGGATCAGTATTATGTAAGATTTTTTTTTCAGTAAGAATTACATTTTCTTAATATGACAAAGGCATAGACACTGAGCTACATCAGCATTTAAAAATTTTCTTCCATCCAAAGATGTTGTGTTTTTCTGCTTTTAATGGAGTTACCCATAGTGCATATAGTCTGCATAAGTGGGAACATGCACAGTAAGTAGAGAACTGGGAATTCTCAATGAAGAATAAATAGGGCTTCTACACTATAGAATGAATAGCTTTCTCTCTGAGGCCGTAAAAGCTTTTTGCTGAAATCTGCTTTATTTGGCACAGAATGAGTGGAGAAATTGGCTCATGGAAACTATCTCCTTTTTTAAGCATATGACTGGCATCTGGATTAGATTTAAGCATTTGCTATGAACATGCTTTTTTAAAAAAGGTATTTTGTTATTTACTAATTTCTCGGAAAGAAACCCAAAAATGTATTGTTGTCGTTGTTGCTGGGGAAGAGCATTAAGTCCTTTTTTGTGAACTTCCTTCCATATAAAGATAAGATGTTTGTTTTAAAACCTTATTTATATGCAATTGTTACTACACCAATATCCTGAGTAAGAAGGAAAGCTGTATTTTCAAGGACATGAATAGTTTATATGAAAATGAGAATGCTTAGGTTTTCATTTTTTAAAAGAATTTTTTTCTTATCAACTAGGTGGAAAAATTCAGTGTTTACTTATTCAGGCCTTAAAGGCCATCTTTCTAGTTTATCTGAAATTTTGAAAAATATGATTGTATCAGTATTTGTCACCTGATTATATAATTTGATCATTAGTATTTGTTAATTTCTAAAAGAGTTTTTCATTCTTATATTTTATTTTTTATTATCATATTGTTATACTGGGGGTTCATTGTGACATTTACAAAAGTCCTTACAATATATCATTGTTGAATTCACCCCTTCATCATTCTCCTTTATCCCCTTCAGCCCCATCTTAGAATAGCTTCAACGGGTCTCATTTTTCCATTTTCATAATGAGTACATAATGTTTTCAGGATCCTACACACTTTCCTTATATCCTCCCTCCTCTGAATGTTACCAACCCCCACACAGGACCTGTTTTACCTTCCTGTCCTTCATTTCCAAAAAAAAAAAAGACTTTTTTTTTTGTTTAAGACATCTGTACAGAGTTTCACCATGATTTTTCCATGTATACATGTATTATACCCCAATTGGTTCATTCCCTCCATTTTGAAGAGAGTTTTCCCAGAGGTGCTAGAGTTGGGAAATAAGTGACAGTTCTCTGTGCAAGCCTATTGGCAGCCCAGTTGAGAAGATGGGTGTTTCCTTTGGGCAGGGTGGGAGGAGTGATAAGCTCCTCCTTCAGAACCCCATTGCCCTTGACCACACTGATACGGAACCTTCACTTAGAAACAACTTATTCCCTATATTTAGGCACCAAAATGCTGAGGCAGTATTTAACTTGAGCAGTCGCAGGACCACCCCAGAGGGTGAGGAGCATGTTTCTTGGCCCTGCCTCCAGAATTGGATTCAGTAGGTCCCAGAGGAGCATGAGGGTTTTCATTTCAGCAAGTTTTCAGGTGATGCTGCCAGTGCTGTTGCTCTGCCCAGTCCTGCTATGAAAACTACCTCCCCATAGACTGCTGTCCCTCAGAATTTTAACTAACCAAATGCAACAGATTTGGAGGGATTCTGTGGCAGAAAAGTTACCTGAACATGAATGAATATATGCCACAAAATAATTACATATAATTGACTCAACATCTGCAGATTTAGTCAACCATGGATCAAAAATAATTGGGGAAAAATTGCATCTGTACTGAACACATACAGACTTTTTCCTTGTCATTATTTCTGAAAAATCATAGCCATTTGCATAGTATTTTCATTGTGTTGGGCATTATAAGTCATCTAAAGATGATTTAAAGGCCATGGGAGGTTATGCATAGGTTGTATGCAAATTCCATGTCGTCTTGTGTAAGGGGCTTGAGCATCCATGGATTTTAGTATCCTTAGGGATCCTGGAGCCATTCCCCCTCAGATACCAAGGGACAACCACACAGTTTACCATAGAGGAAGTTCAGCCCTAAAGTTATATCTTAAGCACAGAAATA